GGTCCCTGCATGGGGCTTGCACTGTGATCGCAGAGCCTGCTTGGGATTCTGTCTCCCACTCTCTCTGCCCCTCCCCTACTTGCCTGTCTCTGTCTCTCTCAAAATAAATAAATAAACTTAAAAAAATTATTGCTATGGCTGCACCTCACAAGTTCTGGTATTTTCCTTATTATTCAGTTCAAAATATTTTCTATTATTATTATATTTTATTTTGGTCCATGGTCACATATACACACGTGTGTGTGTGTGTGTGTGTGTGTGTGTATATATATATTTTTTTAAGTAGGATTCACACCCAGCATGAAGCCCAATAAGGGGCTTGAACTCACAACCTTGAGATCAAGCAAGACCTGAGCTGAGATCAAGATTCGGATGAGCCACGCAGATGACCCTTTGCTAGATATATGCTTTTTCCATCTTACTTTTGATCTTTCTGGAAATCTTAGCAAGCATGGCAAAAAAAAAAAAAAAAAAAGAAAAAAAAAAAAAAAAAAAAAGAGAGAGAGAGAGAATCAAAGAAGAAAAAAATACCGTTGTATTTGCAGTTGATAGGACCATAGGACTATGTTAGTGAGATCATTAAAACAAGTAAATTAAAAAATGCTATTTATTAACACATTAGCATAAAAATAAGACACACCTGATAGAGAAAATTATTAACTTTGGGAGAAATTATAAATCTAAAGAAAACCTAAACAAATGAATAGAGTATTGTCTCAAATTGATCTGTTTCAATGTAACCAAACAAAACCCCACCTGGATGTTGGTAAAACTTTACAAGTCAATTCTAAACTGTATTTAGAATTACAGAGGCCGAGAATAGCCACAACATTGAGTAACTACAACAAAAAAGGGTGAGAGGAACAGCCCCACCAAAGATCAAGCCATATTATTAAAAACGTTCACACCATACACAAAAATTAAATCCCTGTGGATTTAGGACTTAAATGTAAAAAGCAAAAATTTAGTGCTTTCAAAAAACAAAATAGGAGAAAACTCTTATGACGTTGGGAGAAGAAACGATTTCTCAAACAAGAAACAGGAGCTACACTTCATAAAAGACTAACTTGATAAGACAAGTGAACAACTATTTATCACGACAGTGATGCAACTGAGGAGACAAGCCTCAAGCTGGAAGATATTTGCGGTACATGTAACTGACAAAGGATATTATCCAGATATACAAAGCTTTCCTACAAATCAAAAGACAACCCAAGTCGCTTCAAAAAGAAAAAAAATATCTAATCACCAATAACATATATGAAAAGATGTTCAATCTCATTAGTATTCAGAGAAATGTATTAAAAACACTGAGTACGTTTATGATCTTCTCAAAATGCTTGCTATTCGTCACAATAGTTAGTCAGATACAGAAGAACCAGAGGAACATATCGGCAGGCTTCACATCTCCTTCCTTGGTCATTTCTCTATCATTACATTTACTCTCTGTAAGGGTTTGTTGGTATTGTATTTTAAGTATTGGTTCACAAACTAATGATAATTAACGTCTGTTACTCTCTCATCATAGAACCTTCATCAACTAGGGGTATAGCCCTAGCTGTGTGCTCTGCTTCTAATGGACTTCTCGTACCTTATGCAACTTCTCTTCCTGGATTATTTTATTTTACACTTGAGGTGACTGAACTAAGCGAGTTCTAAAGCCATTCCCTCACCCCCACCCAATCACTGCACATTGATTCTCAAATGTGCATGCTTTTTCAAGATTTTCTTTTTCACTTACTCTTTCATTCATTCTCTCACCAAATATATTTCCCTTAATCTTGTATACTAGGCCCAGGAGACATGAAAATAGACACAACCATGTCTGGTCCCCAGGGTCTGACAATAGTCCAGGATAAAGAAAAAAATTAACAAGTCACAGCAATGCAGCAAGTGCTACAACTGAGATACAAAGGGGGCTGCCCGGACAGACAGAGGAGGAAACATGCACTGAGATGGAAGGAGAGAATTTGGGAGCGGGTGGAGCGTGAGGCATGAGGAAAGGGATTTCCAGGCAGAGAGACTGTATGGCCAAAACTCTGGAGAGGGAAAAAAGAAAATAAGACTTTTGGGGCTTTACAGAGAGTTCAGCATGGGAGAATGGCAGGCCTCATGTTACACAGGAACTTAGAAATTATACAGTAGCAACATGGTGTCTTTGGGCAGGGAAGTGATACAACCCTGGAATTTAGAAGGATGACTCTGGGCGCACTGTGAAGGAAAGAATGGGTTATGGAACTAGGAAACAAGAAGGAAAAAGTAGAAAGACCAGTTAGAAGGTGATTATAATTGTCTTGCGTAGAAATGATAAGGATCTGAAATAAAATATTTGATAAATATCATTGTGTCACAATGACAGGACCTGCTACCCAAAAGTAGGGGTTGGAAGAGTAAAGACTCCTGGGATAAGTAAAGAAGATATGAAGGAAAGCTGTATCAGGGACAGCGGAGAGGAAGAAATTAATTTGAGAGAAATTAATGGAGCAGACATATTAGAACAAGCTGAAAGACCCTGAAGCTAGAGGAAGAAGGAAAAGGAAGACCCTTCTGTTTTTGGCTTGGACCAATACGGGGGTTGTGGAATCCTTAACCAAAATGGGAAAAACAGGTGATGCGGACCTTGAGGGTGGGGAAAAAAGTGTTAATTTTTCAGCGCATTGGATTGGAGGTGCCTGAGTACCATGCTGAGTGAGAAGTTTAACAGTTCTGGAGCTACCAGCAGAGTTTGGAATTGGAAATAAGGCCAGTGTGTCTGGCACTATTATCAGTACTTAATGTGCTTTGTGAGAAGTCTATCCACGAAATAGGTATTAGTATTATCCCGACTTTACAGATAAGAAAAACCTTAGGGCAGAGAGAGAGCACTTGAAGGTACTTATCCAAGGTCACTGAGTAAGTACTGGAGGCAGGATTTGAATCCTGATGGTCTGCAGTGTTCACCTGTGAGTCATCAGAAGCACAGACTGAAGTTGAAGGCACGTGAGAGTATAATTGGGACTAAGGGCCAGGTCCCAGGAAACCCCAATATACAAGGGAGGGCAGAAGAACAGGGCATCAGAAAACTGAGGATGGCCTTATGGAAGCCAAAGGGAAAGCAAGTTCCAGGAAACAAGAAGAGTGTCACTTGATACAGATATTCAAGTCAGACAGCAGAACTTGACAGGGTCTCACATTTCTCAGGGAGCACACGTAGTTTCCCAAGAGGCTAAGGCTAGGTTGCACTGGGTTGAGGAGAAAATGAGATGAAGTGACAACTCAGAAAAAGTTAAGCTGTGAAAAGAATGAGGACTCAGGAGGTTGCTGGAATGATTGATACAAGTTTGGGGGAGTTTGTATAAAGAAAGGATTCCAAGCATTCTTTCATACCACTCTATAATAAAAAGTAAAATTCATAAAAACTTGCAAAAGACTTAAAGTCATAACACTAGACTTGGGAACATCTTTTTTTGTTTTTGTTTTTTATTGAAATATAATTAGCATATAATGTTAAATTACTTTCTGGCATACAACGAATTGATTTGACATTGTATGGGAAACATCTTAAATACAAAGTAATTTTTGTACACTGCCTTCCACCAGCACATCTCGAGCTTCTGGCCACCCCCATCAGGCTCTACTGGGTCTATTACTACCAACTGGCGGCTGCTTTTCTCTGGCTACAGACACACTAACCTTTCCTCAGATCTTCAAACACACTAAGCTCCTTGTCACCTCAAAACTTACTTTGTTTTCTTTGCTTTGTTAACTTTCTTGCAAAGTTTCCTTTGTCTGGAAACTCTTGCCCTATCTTGCACATGGCTGGTTTCTTCCCCTTCAAAGCTGCTTTTTCAGAAAAGACTTCCCTGCCAATCTAAGGGAGTGATACTCCTACTTAATTCTCTATCGTGAAACCCCTATTTTTTTTTCCTTCATAGTACTCAATCGAATCTGTAACCGTTTTATTTGCTCACATTTCATTGACTGTCTCTTCCACTACCATGTATGCATCATGATGGCAAAGACGTCTGGCTCCTTGGCCTCTGTGTCTTCAGCCCCTAGAATTGTTTCTGGCAAACAACATGTCTTCAGTAAATATTTGTTGAATGAACCATTCAACCCATTTTCTCCCTCTGTCACCTTAGTCAACTGGGACCAAGCATACTGTTTACCAAGATCTTTTCTCGCTGACTTGACATATATAATCACAAGGGCTAAACTAACTTTGCACTTTCATTAGATACCAGGGTCTGTGCTACAAGCTACATTTGTATCATTTCACTTAATTTTTACATAACCCTCTCATATAGATATATACTTTGGAAATGATCTCCACTGCACAGGTGATGAAACACAGGAGGTTGTATAACTTGCCCAAGTTCACGAAGGGGTGGAGTCGGGATCAGAATCTAGTTCTGACCTCAAAACCAAACAAGGCCAGGCCACTTCTCTCTTCCAGTAAGGGTACGTAGTCTGGTTTGGGAAGTTCTGATTTACCTCTGCTCTACCCAGGCCACATCTTTTTTTTTTTTTTTCAATGTTTTTTATTTATTTCTAGGAGAGAGAGAGAGAAACAGCGTGAGCAGGAGAGGGTCAGAGAGAGAAGGAGTCATAGACTCTGAAACAGGCTCCAGGCTCTGAGCTGGCAGTCAGCACAGAGCCCGACGCGGGGCTGGAACCCACGAACCGTGAGATCATGACCTAAGCGAAAGTCGGACGCCTAACTAAGCCACCCAGGCGCCCCAACCACATTTTAATCATAATAAAGTTTCACCACCTCCCCTCGCCCTTCCCACTTGCTTGATTGCGGGAGGAGAGAGCGGGGAGCAGTAGAGCGCTGTCCTGAATTTTCAAGTCCCGGCTTCTCCCAAGGAAGATGCATGTAGGAAGGAGAAGAGATCCGAGCATTAGCAACTTATATCTCAGCACTGAGGGAGAGGTAACCCAGAGCCTAACAAGCGACTGTCGGATTTTGGAGCAGAAGCAGACAAGTCCCGCACTGCATCAGTGGCCGAAGAGCTTACCTTAACTGCCACCTCCGGAGCCGAGTCCACCGCCACTGCCAGAGACCGCTTGGCCGAAGCTGACTTAGTCAAGTGCATGAGGGAGTCGGCAGCTGGCAGCGAACACCTTCCGCCCTCACTGTCCGAGTCCGATTCGGACCCTGAACCCGAACCATAGGACGCAGCTAGAGATGCAATCGCAGCCGACATGACTGCAACCGATCCTCTGCGGAGACCAGGCCCTGGCGGAAGAAGCGGCTTCTAGGTCCTGACCGATTACCATGACACACACTACTTACTTTCTTTGCTACGAGTTCATTTACGACATCTTTAAACCATAATTAATTAGTATTTGAATAAATATAAGAGAACTGAGAACATAAAACGTTTATCTTGGGAAACAGAGAGACTAGTGATACCTTATAACTTTCAGGACCTATTCGGCTGGATTCGAGACTACGAGTTCCGAAATACCCTGAGGTCACGAGGTCCAACACTCCCGCCGTGCAGCGCGGCTGGGAGTGGAAGGGGCATAACGGGAAGTGTAGTTTGGGTCGAGGGGCGGGGCGAAGTGGGCTGGCCTCTCTTTGACCCCGCCCCTGAATGGATGGTTCATTCAATTGGCTATCATCTTCCCTCACTCCCAGGCCAAGCACTGTTCTCTCCGTCCCCTTCCCCCAAATTGGAGATTGGGCAATACCACACAGCCCCAGGAAATGGGGGGGAGAGCCGTTTTCATGGTCTCTGTTGGGTGAGTGGGCGGAGGCCGAGTTTTCCACCACGGCTGCACCTGGGCACTGAGAGCTGAAGAGGAAAGTGAGACTCTTACGTTGGAAGACCTTGAGTGGTGGAGAAAAGCTCCTGATGGGAAGGATGGGAGATTAGGTGGCGAGGTCCATCGCCCCCCACCCCCCCCCGCTTCAGACGCGGATCTCCGCGCCCGGTTGTGGAGCGTCGCGCGCGGGGAGGGGGCGGGTGGGGGGCGGCGGCGGCTGCTCACGGTGTTGTTCGCTCGCGCGTCGAGCACACGGTGGGTCCGGCGACCGGCGGGCGCCGCAGGCGGCGTTCCCAGTAGCCCGGTGCCTCGGCCGCTGCCCGGAGCGGATTCCACTCCGGAGCCTGTCGCTCCTGGAGGCTCTAGGTGGAGTCCTGGGAGCTGAAGGGGACCGGCGGCCGCCGCCGAAGCATGAAGAAGGGATAAGGCAGGAGCCCCCCATGATTTCACGGTGAGCGCGAGTCTCTCAGGAATTGTTTTTTGGTGGGGACAAGGTGCTGGGAGAGGAACTCTTTCTCACTGGCCAGAACGGATAGAGGTGTGTGTGGCGGCTCTTGCCCGGCAAAGGTGACGGGGATGGGCGCGCCTCCCCCGCGACGGCCCCCACCCCCATTCCCGGCTTCCCAGAGCTCCGGCCGCCCACCCGCCAGCCGCGCCGGGTGCCGAGGCGGCCGGCCGGCCGGCGCGCCTGATCTCGGTTGCAGGGACCGCCCGAGGCTGCCCGAGGCGGGGAGACTGCGGGTCTCACCTGGGGTGCCACCGCCCGAGCGCCCCTGCCCCGCCGGCCACCCCCGTGCCTCTCGCTGTGGGGGCGGCTTGCCGCACCGGGTGGCAGCGAAGCCCCCGCTCGCGCTACGTGCGGGAGGCTCTGTAAAGCCGGCTTGTGTGCGTGTTTGCAACGCGCGTCTTTATATTACGGACATAAAGGTAAAGCGAGTGCGGGGATCCCTTTCTTCCCCCGAACGGGGGTGGGGGGCGAAGCGGGGCGGTCGCCTCGGATGCCTGGTAATGGGGGAGTGCCTCGGGCAGAGTTAGGGAGCCGCTTACTCAGCTCCGTCGTCGGCGGGGCTCGCCCATTGTGCCACCCAGATAATTATTCAACTATGCAGCATCCATTGCACCTTTCCCATTTTTCTTTTCCCCTTGCTACAGCATGCCCCCTAGCTTCGGTACTCTGACGCCTTCTCTTGCTTGCACTTGGCGGATGATGAACTGGAATAATGATGAAAAGAAAGCACATCTGACCTGAACGTTCACAACCTGCCCTAGAGCCGATTAATTAACTAATCCCCAGCTAGGCTAGATACTTTAATACGACTCAGTCTAATCCTATTCTTTTCTGTGTAAGGTGTGCTTTGGCTTATAATTTAATTTTTTCTTTGGTGTTAGATTCACATATTAGTTAAGTCTTATTTCTTGTCCGGTAATTGATTTCTTGGTGATTTGTCCCACCTTCTGTTCTTAAATGTGATATATGTGATAGGTAACTTTCATCTTTCTAATTGTTGATAGTACTGTGTCATAATTACAAATGCAGTCTGTGAACTCTCAGGAACAGTTTTTTCCGTATCTAAGTTTCTGTTAGAAAGTATTTTTATTTATGGCGGATATTTAAATAAAGTGCTCTTTCAGGTTTTGAATGAGAAAAGTTTTGTATTTCTTTATTTTTCAGTAATGAAATATTTTATTGCTAATCAATCCTAGCCTTCAGTTGAATGAAAAGAAGCGTGTAATATATTAGCTGGGGTTTTAACTGCCATAATGAGCATTCCGTAATTTCTCTAAATTCTATTTTTTATTCAGTTCTTTGCAGTATCATGTATTACTTGTTACGGAATTTTTCTTACGTTTTTCCAACTTCTTTCTACAAGGATGGGCAGGTTCCAGGTTTGCATGATCTACCTAAAAGATGAAATATTTTTTTGAAAACAGAAGGAGCAACTGTTGGTTACTTGATTATTATGTTAAAAACTGTTTGCCTTTCATTATTTAAAAATAAATGATTCACTGCCAAAAATAAGTGTTTCCTTTTTTTTATTTGTAATCCTCCCCTACCAGCTTTTCTCCTTTAAGCTTGTTGCCATAACCCTCTTGATAAAACAGAATTGCACATAGGCATTGCAGAGGCAATTGATTTAAGGTACAGTAATTGTTTTATGTCCTTTGGAAGTGGCGCACATATAATATAACTTGATGGTGTAGGATCAGTTGCTTGGTTAGGAAATGACCTTGCAATTTACAAAATGGACACCTCTGTGACTTGGTTTCCTTATATGCAAATGGAGGAAATACTTATTAATGCCACTGAGAAGTATGCATAAATTCAGTAAAAATGTTTTCATAATGGTTTTAAGGAAAATTTAAATATTTTAGCTGATGGATGATGAAAATCCTTCAGTGTAAAACACAAGGAAAAAATGTCAGGATATTCCATGGCATGTCAGAGTGGCTGATTTACATTGAATTTTACTTTGGAGATGTATAGCTCTAAATTGAAAAATGTTTCTCATCCATCAAGAGTTTTTATAAATTTAATAGACATTATAGTTAGCATCTATATGTAGCTATAAATGTATAGTTTATATTGATGAAAAAAGTTACATGACTTGATAATAAACAAATAGAATCCTGAATTAAGTTTGTAAAAAAAAAAAATTTTTTTTCCAGAAAACGTTAAGGCCTTTATTGAAATATTTGTAGATAACGTGATCTAAAATACATAGTTTTGATCATTTGTAAGGTATAATATGGAGTTTTATTATTTGGGTTTCTAATTAATTGCATATTCAGACATAATGTAGTAATAATGTGTAATATTACATTTAATTGTACATTTTGCTTTATTTTCAGAATAAGTTAAGCTATCAATTTCCAAGTGTTTGGTATTCGTTTTGACAGAAATAGTATTAGTAGCTTTTGATTTCCTTATTAGAGTATTATTAACTCAGTTAATTTTTATAGCAAAAGCTACTATTATAATATTAAGTTATTAGAACTTTTACCAAAGTTGTATTTTACCAGGGCTTTGTGGGGAAGCTTTATATAGATGATAAGTTTATTGAAATGTCTTTAAAATTACTATTGTATAGTTTCTCTTTCTGAGAATGAATTTGATTGCATTTTTAATGTTTTCGCAAATGACCAGCTTAACATTCAGCTGTCATTATCTCTTGGATAAATACAGTTAATTAAAGGTTTTTCTAAGTTCCTTGAAGACAGGAACTAACCTGATGTTTATTGTCATGAATCCAAAATTGCTAGCATAGCGTTTAGCAAATAGTAGGAACTCCTTTTTGTTGTTGCTGGACAAATAAAATGAATGAGTGAAGAGTATCCATTGATTTAATGTACCAAATAGAAATTTTTAAAAATAAATTCATCAAACAGATTTTAACTCATGAAAAATAGCTTTATCTCAGGAGAAAAGAGAAAATGTTTTGGAGGTGCTTTGAACTTTATTTACCTATTCAGATAGCATTCCTTTACTGATATAGTTTTTGGAAAGAGCACTAAATACTGCATATTGTATGATGTCAACCTTTCATTTATAAAATGATTAATTTTCTTACCCCTTATAGGTCACTTCATGTTGTTTTTGTTGTTGTTTTTCCTAAATTTGATGAGTATAGAAATGTTTGATTATTTTTTACTTGCTCAGTTTTTTAGTGAAATATTTAAAAGATGTACATAAATTACATCCTGTGCTAAATGTGCCTAAATACTGAATTTTAAAAATAAATGACTTCCGAGGTGGAGTTTTTATAATGTACAGAGTCTTGTATTTTTAATTTATCACATTTAGTTTATAATTTTCAGTCTTTGTGTATTGCTCGTTCTTAATTTAGCATGAGATCTATATTTTAAAACTTGGAAAATGGTTTCGAACTTGGAACTTTCTCAAAAACTATGCTTAGTGGTTAGATTCACAGACAACCTACCAAATTCAACTCATAATATACCTAAGTTATAAGATTAGGCTAAAAATACTAGAGAATTAAAGAATTAATAATTAGGATAAATGTTATATTGAAAATACCTACACTATGTACAACAATTTTTCTTTGGGAAAATCCATTCAGAATGGATTTGGTAATGCTAGGAATACATTTCTCTTATGTTAGACATGACAACATTTTTAGGAACTTGTCCTTTAACACCCACTGGACATGAAGAGGAGGATCTTCCTCAGTTCAGTGAGCCTCACATTATATGGGGCAAGAGGTGAAATGAGAGAAACTGGAAGGAGCTAGGGTCTTCTATGTGACGTTTGACAAATCATTTTCCCTTTCAGCGTCTTTGGTTTTCTCTATTATAAAATGAGAAGGTTGACATAGTCTCTGAAATTCCTTTCAGCTACAAATAAAATTCAAAGGCACTTGAATGCTCACTGTAACCACTTTTTTTTCTGAGAGTTCACTTTTCCTTTCTAATGTTACTGCTTATATACCTCCTCTCATGGA